ACAGGGTGAAATTGAATGTTTCTATGAAACTTCGTGAGATTGATGGGTTACATGTATTGAGTATGCCTGATTTTTTTCGGATTTTTTTAATTAATTTTTTTCGTTTTTTTAGTTTTTTATTTGGTTATTTTTTTGTCATTTCTTCCTTATGAGTAATTATTCATTTTAAACACGTCTACATAGAAGTTATAAAGCAACTTAAAATAAGCACTACTAAAAAAACGGAAACTTAATGAATGCCTTCATTATGCCTACAGTCGAGATCAGCGCCGGTCGGGGCGACGACCGGCGGCCGCCTGTAGGTACCTAACTACACGCACAGATGACTCGGCGCTTACCTACTCGCTTTGATCCACACTATTTAAAAACAATACAATAAAATAGTCTTAGATGCTATATTATAATTATTTATTCACTGATACACAATACCTTTGAATATTATTTCATAAAGCACAGGTAATTAATCAATAATATAAATCTTCTTAAAATTAAGAGAAAATCGGTATAACTTACGAGCTTAGGGAAGGAAGGAACTCTTCGTGTCTGATTTGCCCACGTCATGAAATTCCGAACACATTTAATCACAGCCACAGTCACACATACACACATAATAATATGTTGTTTTGCGGCAAGCACGGGCGGGCGGCGCGCCGCACGCTGGCAACTAGCGCCGGTTGCGGCGTCTTTGATGATGTGAATTCCGCCCACCTCCCCTCTTCCCCGCACGCGGACGTTTGCTTTGATTGCATGCAAAACGCAGTCGCAAGTATATTAATCGCGCGTGAGCGTGCGCATCTTTTGACTTGGTGACATACACTGTGATAATTTCATTATGCCTCGGTATACAAACCAAGAATATTTAGAGATGGTGTACTGCTATCGCGAGTGTGACGAAGTAGGTTTGGTTTACGAATGAGTCCCTAAACCATAGAAGTTGCATTTTGTGCAGTGAGTAGTGATATCCCTACTTTAAAAAAGGTGAAAAGACACGTCCGCAAACAGGCAACCTTTGTTTGCAGCAAAATGGTGGTTTAGAGCAACAATTTTGCAGATAATAATTTAAGTCTCTTTTTATTGCTAGTGTAAATACTTTTTGATTAGAAACAACTAATTGTGTACTACCAGTGTGATTGATTTGATAAAAAGTTCTAGTGAAAAAAATGAATATGTTCCTCGTTCCTCGTTGTACCTACCTAAATCGCCGGTCTCGTAAGTACTTTTGAATACCTGGTTATAAATTTCATTCTTGGGGTATTAAGCAATAAGTATTTCTTTTTGTTTAACATTTGCCTATTTCCAATCGTACCAAAATTATTACTAACTTTTAAAGTTTTTCTCTGCTTAAGAAAAGATGACATTTGTGCTTATTATTTCAATTTCAATAAAGGCATCTAAGACGATTTTATTGTACCTATTGTGTGGAATCAAACGAGTCAGTTGAGCTCTGGTTAGAGTTAGGTAGCTACTTACTCAACGGCTGGCGGGCGTGGTCGGTCGTTGACCCGTGGCGGAATTTCAATGTTTTTCCGTTTTTTAGAAGTGCTTATTTATTAGTTGTTTATCACTGGATATGTAAGTTTGTTTGTTTAAAATGAATAACTACTCAAAACGAGGAAAGGACATAAAAATACACAAATTATAAATAAATACATGAAAAAAATATACTTCAAAAAAATCCGAAAAAAGACAGGCATACTCTATACACATAACCCAACAATCTCACGAAGTTTCATAGAAACATTCAATTTCACCCTATATTATAAATATGAATACCTATAACTGTTACTTTATTACAAAAAATAAAGATGTGGTTTTTGGTTCTACTACACCAATGGTCAAGAGATGGCGCTGTAGTCTCCTGAATCGCGCTTTGGTTCCGTTGTTCCAGATTAATAAATACTTTTGATAGGCCTTCACAATGCAGTCGTTAGCACCCACTAAATAGAGATTCTATTTCTATTTTGTTGGTAGATTTTCTTAATGTGCGGTAAACACAAAAGTTAAAATTTTGTGTTACAGTGATGCGCGCGCATCTTAAAATTTCACTCTCATCATTTTTTCATAACGCGCCTAAAGAAGTATAACTTCAAAATAGTATCTTAAGATCGAAGTCTCAGTCAGAGTTGAAAGCGATCTGTTAATACAGGCATTAGTTTGTTTTTTGCGTGGTAATTTTGGTATGTTTTTGATAAGTTTAGCACTTATATAAATAAATGAATGATTGGTCTCGCTCTCTCGCTTCGCTCGGGCGAAGCAAACATTCATCTATGGTTTAGCATTTGTATTTACCCAACGACGTATAATATATGAGTCGTATAGTATCAAAGGCGGCAAAGTAGGGCGAACCAAATATTTGGCAAATCAAAAATAAACTGTTTAGTCTCGTCTTTAAGGGAGGATAAAATATTGTCATTTCACTACGATTTGTAGTTATGATGAATGTCAATTATAAAAATCCTCCCTTAAAGACGAGACTAAACAGTTTTTTTTGATTTGCCAAATATTTGGTTTGCCCTACTTTGCCGCCTTTGATACTATACGACTCATATAGACAGGTTATACACCAACATTATTGCATTTTACAATGGCACAAGTAGTCCCCGCCCATCTTCCCTTTGCAACAGCCGCCAATAGAGTGCACAGAGTGCACTTAAGTAGACTCTTTCACTCTCATTCATAAAGCATATTACATCTCGCTCTTCAGCCTCTATGTGTCAACGGTGTCAGCAACGGTCAAAATAAGTAATCACCTATGATGTTCTAAATTTATAGATACAGGCTTCTTATTTGTCAATACGAAAGTCAGGTAATTGCAGTCGGGCGGGCATGCTCTCTCGCCGCGTCTACACTTCGCTACAAGTGTAAATATTTTACGTTTTACCAGACAAAAACCCCTACTTACGTGTGTTTTAGATAGTACACAAATTAAATAGGAACTGTTACAGACAATAATTTCATTCGTAAGTTTTTTTGCAGGGTAATAGTGTATTTTCTTTCCAATTTATCAAATTCTTTCTTTTCAGGTTGTCGGAACCAGCATTACTTACCTGGTTATCATCGTACAGTTTCAACCCTCATCCTAAACCATTATTTGGACAATTATTTTTTACAACAATGTACTAAAACATTTTCCGAACAGTAACTAATTAGACTTAGAGACTAAAATGTAGATTACTTTAAGAAATATTTCGTTTATAATACAGAATCAATAATCCCCACTCGGGATCCCCAACCGGTACTCGCGTCGTTGAGCTGGGACACCATGGCCTCTCATGCTAAATGAGCGTTGTCGCTGTCAATGTACCAGCGGTCCTTGAGCCTAATGGCATCTTCGGTGACGAAGGCAAGAGATCTGATGCTATGAAGCTCATTCCTTGAAGGGGGTCGTCCTCTTGCATGAGACGCTATTTGCGTGGATACGCTTGCCCCGTGTCATATAAGCATTACCTCTCTAGCTGCAGGCGCGGCCTCTGCGCATATTCAGCTCACAATAAGAATTACATATTTGCGCCGTTTGGTGTAGAGACTATGGGCCCATGGGGTCCTCGCTCTCGTTCCCTTTTTAAGGAAATGTCAAAGAGGCTCACCGAAGTGACTGGTGATCAAAAGTCTGGCAGCTATCTCGGTCAACGGATCAGCCTTGCCATCCAACGTGGCAATGCTGCCAGCCTATTGCGCACCATTACTGATAGCATTGCTGGGAGTGACATATTTATTATTTTGTAAATTATTTATTTAAGTAGGTAAGTTGGTTAAGCTATTTGGTTTGTAAGTTAGTTTTCTTTAAATGTCTAATTATTAAAATTATAATATGGCCGATTAGAAAGGAATAAATTATGGCAACGTAAGAAACGGACATGTGCTCAAGGGCGGATCCAGGGGGGGGGGTCATGGGGGTCATGACCCCCCCTCCCCCCCCCTGGGTTGGGTACAGATGGACCAAACCCAGGGGGATTTTATTTAAGTACTTTCAATATTTAATATACCACGACTCATGGAGCACCCCCACTATATTATTATGATCCCCATGCGATACACATGCGATAGAAGTGAAATCTAAAAAACCGGCCAAGTGCGAGTCGGTCTCGCGCACATGTTTAATATTATTATCTTGACAATATTAGAAAAAAAGAAAGAAAGAAAAATAATTAAAATAATTGGTCAGCGCATTCGTCCGGATAGCGAAGGGTGCGGGATCGAGTCCCATCTGCTGCATGGTCCGCGTGGAATTTTTTCTAGTAATATTTTCTTTAAATTTAAATCGAGCTGTTACATGCTTAAAAATAAAAATTATAAGAAAGTAAAAGATTTTTTACTAACCCTCAGTACTAACCCCCCATTAGGTAATCGTTTTGCAACTCGTGACATAATAATAAGTATTGTTGATATTATTGATAAGTTCCGGGGGGCCATCAGTGGTCATCATCATCAGATACATCTATTATTCATAAATTGGATATAAGTGGATATTATAAATTAAAATTCGTGTGATTTTGTGTTACACCCGTCTGCACAACTGAAGAATAAATGGAATCCTTAAAATATAGGCTATTCCGAACAAGTGGATGTGAGAACTTTATTGTACCTCACAGAAACTTGTCGAGAAAGCTGACTCGATACATTTTGTGCCAAACACTCCAAGAAACATAAGAATGCGTCACATCCACATTCTAATGTAAAAAAAGACGATTAATACAAAAATAAGACGATGGCTGCATGGCTTTGCCTTTGCCTTTCCCAATAGGGAAGAACAGAATACAAAAAAAACAAATTGACAATCAATCCACAAAAAGAGAGAATCAAATTATTTTTACGTATTTACCTGATCCTAATCCTTCCAAATTCCGTTTCACAACCATTTTATTTCATTATTTTGGTTTCCTTACCTTTTACCCTGTCGTGGCCAATGCACAAACCGTGCGAGCCATTATAATAACTCAGACCAAATATACTTTTTATTTGGTCTGAGTATAATAATAAAAAAAAAAAAAGAAAAAATATTGTTTTGTAAGTATGTGCATTACTTTAAAGACTGGAAACTTGTTAGTATCATATAATTTTATCAAAATCATGAGTGTTCGTCAGTCAAGTGACATAGCAAAATTCAGAGACACCTTAAAGTCTGCAAAAAACATCGTTTTCTTATCTGGAGCCGGAATAAGTGCGGAGTCAGGTATTCCTACGTTCAGAGGTGCCGGTGGGTTTTGGAGAAAGTACCAAGCGTCTGCGCTCGCCACTCCTGGGGCTTTCAATAACAACCCCAGCTTGGTTTGGGAATTTTATCATTACAGGAGAGAAGTCGCTGCTAAGTGTGAACCTAACCCCGTACGTTATTTGATAAAATATATATATACATTTTTTTTCCATTATCGATATCATAACATAACTACAAGAATATTACGTTACATCAATAATATTGTTTAAAAGATGGAAAAGGAGTAAGTAAGGGGGTGTCAGGGATATATAAATCAATGACATTTTGTTTGTCAGGGACACAAAGCGATTGCTAATTATGAAAAGTTGTATGGTCCAGAGAAAACCATAACAGTCATAACACAGAATGTTGATGGACTGCATACCAAAGCTGGCACTAAAAACTTGATAGAACTACATGGAAATCTATACAAGACACGTTGCACTAAATGCAAAGAAGTGTTAACGAACACTGACAATCCAATTTGTGAGGTATTATTACTTTTCATAATGTATATGTATTTCTTAACTCAACATTAAAACTTACCAAGGGTTACTAGAAAAAAATCCACGCAGACGGGACTCGAACCCGCACCCTTCACAATCCGGGCGAATGCACTAACTGTGGGTTACCTACAATGCGAAGAGACGGCGCTGCCTTGCAGCTAGAGGACGCGGCAAATAAGGCCGTGGTAGCACAATGGTCAGTGCATTCGCCCGGATTGCGAAGGGTGCGGGTTCGAGTCCCGTCCGCTGCCTGGTCCGCGTGGATTTTTTCTAGTAAACTTTTCTTTAGATTTTAACATCGATCAGTTACATGCTTAAAAATTAATAATAACTTACCAAGGGTTCTAAACAATATTATTCTGTTTGCAGGCTTTAGCAAATAGAGGTGCACCAGATGTTAAGGTAGTGGGCTCTGATATACCAGTAAAGGTACTACCGCATTGTAAGAAACCAGGATGTGGAGGCTTATTAAGACCACATATAGTTTGGTTTGGAGAGAGTTTGGAGACTGAAGTGTTAAACAAAGCAGGTGCATTTAATTCCATTTCTAGTATAGTATCTATTATGACAATTAAATTCTACATCTTATCTTATTTGTTTACCCAGTTTATAGTAATTTCCAAAGATATGTTTTGAGTTTAATGCATTTAAAATCTGGTTTGTAGAGGCTGCAATGGAGAGCTGTGATGTTTGCTTAGTAGTAGGCACATCATCTGTAGTGTACCCGGCAGCAATGTTTGCACCGCAGGCAGCAGCCAGAGGAGCTATAGTGGCTGAATTCAATCTGGAGACAACACCAGCTACTCCAGACTTCCATTATTACTTTGAAGGTCCTTGCGGGACTACTCTGCCTTTGGCTTTAAATCATTAGTTAAAATGATTATTGTACTATATTTTTGTACATATAACTTAAGCATTAAACATTAATTATTAAGTAAATGATGTCGTTGGAACACTGTAATAATTTGTGTTGTCAGTGAGGTTAACCAATGAAATAGGAAATTATTTATTTTTTAAAACAATGAAAAGTATATTTTGATTTTTCAATTACTAGTGGTGTAATAAGAGTAAAATATTAAGCATAGTGTGATTTAAAATTTATTAGAAACAATGGGTTCATTCAATTAAACTAATAAGTAGTAAATATACAATTTATTTTATTCAATGTTTGCTTTTCTGTGCTTTGTGCTCCTTGAAAAATTTGGCAATGTGACCGATCGCTTTCCCGAAGGTGCAGTTTGTGATTAATGAATTCTGAAATCAACCATATTAATATAAATATTAGGCCAGATTTTGTTCAAGTACATAGTTTTTTTGTTATGAAAATAAAGAACAATTTGAATGCAATGCAAAACAAAATTTCCCCGAAAATCAGTTCAGCGTTTATGGAAGAGTTCAGATACATAATAATATTATGTAGACAAAAAAATTGACATTCTTATTTTACCTATGTAATTATTAACATGGAAACAGGTAATAGTTATTTATGATATTAGTGCGTTAAGTTGGTTATTACAAACTTCGCCTTGAGGGTTACCATAGTCAAGCGTTTGTAAAAACCAATTCCGCGCGAATGCCATACAACGTTTTTCAACAAATTTGTGAGAAAACAGTATAATTTTAAGTAATGAAGCAAACTTTTACTACGAAGAAAATGGCGGGCATTTCCTCTGGCGCCACATGCTAGTGGTGAAAATTAGAACTACATCTTTCGGCTCCTTTTCTTTTTTAGTATTAAAGTGAGACAAACGTATATATCAAAAGCGCTTCTAAAGAGGTTCGATCGAAATTTTTAAAAACCGGCCAAGTGCGTCCCGTGCCACGCGCAGTGTAGGGTTCCGCAGTTTCCTATCGTTACAACAATATATTTAAGCAGGAATTCTTTATTTGCTGTATCGAAAATTAGAAAAACCAATTAATTACAATCTATGTTTCTCAACTAAAATACCTAAATCAAAGTTAAACTGCGTCTCGAACTCAAAATAGAATCGATATATTATTTTTTAAGCAAATGTGATATCCTCATGGATACGCTACAGCCGGCTGCAAAGTTATGTCGGATTGTTACTGACTAAAACACACCTGTAGTTCATGCTCATGGCTGGAAGGGCCTTGCAAGCTTCACGTGAAGCGATCATCCCCTGAGCAGGGGATGATGCGGTATAACCGCCAACTTTTTCAAGTGTTTATGTTGTTATACTCTTTATAAAAATGTTACGTTAGCGCGATTCAGAAGCCGCTGGTACTAGCGGCAGCGTTGTGGGGAATTTTCAATAGGTAAGAAAAGGAGAATGGTCATTTTACTTTGGGAGTTGGGCTAAGTTTTTTTCATTGCGTCTTATTGGAATAAGTGTACAACAATAGGGAATCAGGTGTATATTGCGTAGGAAAAATATCATTAGAAACTTAAGTAGTGGTTTAAAGAAAATATTAAATTACGTAAGCATTTTAAGGTTATGTCATATTTAGATTCGATTAAATTCGATATTTATACCATACTTAATTATTACTAGGTATACTACTTTAAACTGTATTTAATTAGGTTGTGACCTTTTGTCTTCTATTTTGGACTGGGAGTGAAACAAAAATTGAATGCACTTCGTAAAATCTTATCAACGGGCAGCGTATATTTGTAAACTGTTGCGTTGGTGAGCTGCTATCTATCTCTATTTATTCCAAACATCTCAGATTCAATAAATGTGGCGTTGTTGAGGTGCGGTTATATTAGTGCTATTTATACTTATTCTCTTTACGCTCAAGCTGCACCTTTGATGCTCTGTTAACCCAACAATGGATCTAATATTATTTAAGGTTTAGGAATCAAAAATAAATAAGACAAAATATTTTAATAATGATAATCATTTATTGATAACACATTTATCCAAATCGACATTATTAATGTGATATTTTTATTTTATATTTTTGAGGTTATGCCGTATCCAGTGGAACTGTAGTGACTTCGCCTAAAATATCTTTTGTAACTCGCCACCATGTCCTGTTGAGTTTGAAATATCCAGTTAAAGCTCTGCTAAGTTCAATTAACACAGCAGTTTATACATTAAGCGTGCTCTAATCCTGGTTTATATATTGCCTTTTTTTAAAAAAGAATTGACTTATATACCTTCTTCAAATACCTCATCTAAAAATGTAGCTGGAGCATGTGTATCGTTAAATCGCCCCCAGCTAAGGTACCAAACTACCGTCATTACGTGTGCGCAACATCCTACTGTCCTTTTGCCTACAATACAACTGCAGCAATAGCCAACTAAACAACTTAGTGAGTTGGCTATATTGGTGTCACGGCTGACTAAAATGTAAACAAAATAGGTGCGTCCACCAACGTGTCTAGACTTAATACGTCCTCTAAGCAGATAATTGTTTAAACCTAATACAAGGGGAACATCTTCATCTATTTCAGTATTTATTTCTATGGAATATATCCCAGACGATCGAATATGTTCCCCATAATATGATCGCGCCTGCTTTAACTGATAAGTGCCTAATGCAAAGCGTTTTAAATCAGTGATGCTTAAACTGGGAAAGGTTTCCAAGTGAGGATGATTGCCATCAATTGCAGAAAACATTGCACGTCTTCTGTTAAGATTTTGAGTTTCTACAAACTCGGCCAAATGATTGGACTCATTAAGCCGATTTTGAGCAATAGCTACATACTCGCTTGCTTCTGGAGGATCCTGTATTAAGGGATGAAACTTATTTAACAGAGCACATGCAATTCTTAAATCATCTTTTAAATGAGTTGCAGCTCTGTTATTAAATACATGCCTGAACAATCTAAAATCTCGTTTTATACGTCCATTTACTATTTCAACCACCCAGCGACACATTGTTACAAATCTAGATTTGTTAGCCTGAAGGGTAGTGAGTTGATGTTCACCATCTAATAATGATTCAGGCATGTAAGCTTTAAAACCAAGATCCTCCATAAATTCAATTACGTCCCGAAACCCCCTATCCAGAATAAAAACATCATCCTGCCGGAAAAATGAACGCAGTTTTCCTTCTTCATTATTTAAATCATGCCTTGTTATTGAAGCATCATTAGTGGTTGCTTTATAGGGACCCATACAATCTATAATATATCTATCACAACACACAACCATAAAAGGTTTAACTAAATTATCAGATTTTTGTAAACTATATGATTCTTTTTGAAAACGATAATTGCTGCTGCTCTGGACAAATATATAAGTTGCGTCACACATAACAATAGCGGGTTTAATATCATTTGGTAAGATTGGATTACCAAACAATCCCTCCGGGATTATTTTATTTCTGCTGGCCACTTGCTCCACATTTACATGACCAAAGCCCAAATGTCTTGACACAAAATCTTCAATTGAACAACTTCTAGCTATATTCATTTTTCTCTCCAAGGTCCTACGAGACATTTGAAAGAGGGAACTTAATCGTTCATTGCTGTCCCCAGTTCTTAACTTGACTATGTAAATACAGAGTGCTAAACGGGGATTTTTGACACTCTGTAATAAGCTTGGTACACATGCCAAGAGTTCATCAAACTGTTCAGCATTCATTCCCAGCCAATAATGGCATAAGAAAGGAGCCATTGCAGAAATATTTTCAAAGTCGAAACAATGGGAAACTGCTCTCTGCATTATATTCAAAATGGCATCAAACTGTACACCAGTAAAATCTTGCAATTTGATGTTAAATCACTCCAACGCCCATTATTCAAGTGATGTTGACATTTTCTACTACATGTGGGAACATAGAATTTATTATGTATTAATAACATTTCTCTTATTACTCTGGGTACTAATAAACATTGTTGTTCCCGGTATCCTGAAAACAGACAACTCAATGAAGTGACTACAGCACGCTTATATACTGATGACTGTATCTTAGGTATAACAGGTCTTGAAGGCTGAACAGGTAATAGACCAGCGGGAAATGGTGGTGGTACTGGGATCACTGGTACAGACTCTGTTGGTTCTACATCAATTTGTTCAATTGATGACTGATTCGCATCATGTAACTGTTGCCTTTGCACTTCCCTATTAGCTGCTCGCCAACAGGCAGCACAAACTCTTGAAATTCTTGACACCTATAAAAAAAAGATAAGTGAACTTGAATTTAATGAAAAACCATTTACAACTATTTTATGCAATAGAAATATATTTCTTATAATAATAATAATAAATCATTTATCTGACAAGATATGGTAAATTATACAGATCTCAAAAATATAACAAATACACAAGTAGTTTCAGTATTATCCAGAACTCAATCTTTAAAAACTATATATATTATTTATATACCATAGTCATGATTGAGTTAGTTATTATATAATCAATTTCATTAATATGCTACATGACAATTGTGCAATGTAAAAAAAATGTCAAACTCATGTTTCAGTTAGTATTGAAATCAATTTAAATAAATTATTATTAATATAACATTTCAATCATGCAATGCAAAAATAATAATAATGTCACAGTCATGTTTTAATTAGCATTGAAATCAATTTTAATAATTTATTATTGATAATAATATCTTAAACTATACCTGATGTGCTGGAGTCCATCTAAGAATAATATTTCTTTCTGGACAGTGTAGTGAAACCCTGTACGATCGACTTCTTAATATGGATTTTCCACAACCAAAACAGACTTGTTGATGGCCATATTGTGGTGCAGGTACTTCTTCGGTGGTCAATATCTATAACAAGTCAAAAATATTTATATTTATTTGAACATGTGAATGAAATTAAAACATTATCTCACGGTTGCGATTGTATAACGATATATTTTTAGTAATATAAGTAAATAATTACTTACAGAATCAGGTGCGATCCATGAGCTTAAAACATTAAGCATTGAATTGGATAGCGTGTCCAAAGAATGTACTGGCTGTCGTCGTGGCACTGATATACAACAGTTAATACAACGTCGTTGCATACTGCCTGCGTTTTCTTGTGTAACACCAGATGCCATTGTAAACAAAAATAATTACAATAAACTAAGCGTCCAAATATCTCTGTCAGAATTTACGAGTCCAATGCTCTCTTTCCCAAAAAAAAGTTATTAACGGAGGATTACTCAACTCAACATTAAAACTATTCTGCCACAATAGACCACTGAAAACACAAATTCAATTCAAAATTGAAAACTGTAGTTAGTCACTCGGAACAAACAACAAACACGTTGACAACAAGTTGACAGCTACCTACTTCACTTGCCTATGGTATATATTTCGATTTGATTCTATAAGATCGATTCCTACACAATCGATTAATAAATGTTTTATTTTTCAATGCAAATGCTTAAAATGTTCAAACCATGAGTTAATTTATATATGATTAAGTAATTATATATAACATAACTGATAATTTAAACAAAAATATATTCCCTTTTTTAATCTAAGATGTGAATATGTACTACACATATAAAAGTTTTTGTATGCGATCTACTGTTTGATGAACAAAATAGTCCGCAGACAAAAAATCCTCTTTTGCGCAGCCCATTAAGTTCCTTTTAGTTTTTAGATGCAATGAAAGAGAGCAATCCCTGGTAGGTACAGTGAGATAGTCACAACACAGGTCTTACAAATGATAACTTTATGAATTTAATGTTATTTATCATGATATAATATTGGTAAAAATGCTCGTATCCATCATACAAACATTTACATCACCGGAATTCGAAACCAGGCCCTCTGAATAGGCGATTTGGGGAAAATAATCTATCCATCGATCCATACAAAAATCAAACAACTCGCATCGAAGACCTCAAAATAAAAAATGACTACGAATTAACGAATGATCATTATTTCGTAGTCATTTACGGTGTTTGGTAAAAATGTTTCAGGCTATTTACAATTGTTCTATGCTTTCAATTACAATAAACGTTTTATTTTTTCTTTTTGAAGAGGAACTTCTTTACGCACTCTTGACTTGGGGAGTAAGCTAGCGAACGTAAGCGTTAAGAAAAGTGTGATCGGGCGAGGCGAACGGGAGTTGAGTGGGGGATGTAAGCATGAGAAAGCAGTGCGCGTGCACATTTTCTTTCTCTCTTCCTCTCATAGCCAAATACGTTCCGTATATCTAAGCACAGTGCAAGCCTATTGTCTGTATCACAGTGTAGGAGCAAGAGCGCGCGCACGCACTTTCTTTCTCTTTTTCTGTTACAGCTAGTAAATGAAAGAAGTTTCACTTCAGTTGTGTAGTCATAAGCACACTCGTTTTTTTATGTTAAGAATATTTAAATAAAGAAATATAATCGATTTTTTTTCCTACGATAGTATCGACCAGGTGATACAACTTTTATCTATGGTTATTGGTTATTGACTCAGTTTAATAGCCATTTATTTATTATTTTAAATATCCGCATAATATTTACATAATAAACACACATATGAAATGATAATTTAGAAGAAGATTTTTGATACATAAATGCGTCAAGCGCAATCTAGGCGGATTTGCCCATTCTCCTTTCTTTAACCAAAGTGGAACTTGACCTCATAATTTTCCTCAAAAGTTCATGAAAAGCACTATTATCATGAATTTTTCCAGTTTTTTCAAGCCAATAATTTAGGTTTTAGAGGGGGCGGGGGAAACGCCTTACTCACTCAAACAAAAATTTGCACTTTATAGTTCAATATTTCATAAACGGATCCCTAAATCGCAAAATAGTCTTCGGAAACCCAAAGTAATTTTAAAGGACCTATTCAAAAATATCCCAAACGATGGGGTGGATATTGAAAAAACAATCATTCCCCTGATACATGACGTAGGGGAGCTACCCTAAAAAAATATTTTTCAAAATTTTATTCTACCGTTTTCTCAGCGTGATTGATATACATATCTCCACAACATTACAGCTTTCGAGTGCTAATAGTCTTCAAGCAAAACTGGCGACGGACAGACGGACATGACGAAACTATAAGGGTTCCTTGTCAGGACTACGGAACCCTAAAACACCGTAAAGGACACGCACGGTGCCATGTATGGGAGCGGGCGCAGGCGTATGGCGTCTAATTTTAAACTTTTGAACCGTGTTCACATCCTCTGTAAATGTATTTTTTTTAGCAATGTGTTGAAAAACCTTTTTTACATAAAGGTGTGAAGGTTAGGGCTGTCCTGCATTAAAGCCCTACATATTGATGAGTTACAATAATATGGAGTGCGGTGTTATTTTAGATTAAAACAAAATGAGAAGATAGGGCACTCGCGGCTCAAAAGTGATCCGCTTAAATTGTGACCACAATTCGCTTTAGTCACAATTGGACATTCAAACACGATGCATGTGCAGTTAATATAAAAATATTGCGTAAATTCTCTCGTTATAACAACAAGACAAGCGATGCCTTCGATGCTTTTATTAAGAACACAAATACTAAACGCCCCGGCAACACTTTTCATTCGTAAAACTATAAAATCTTATTTTTTTTCTCAAAAATCATGGTTTGCCATGAATGTTAGTTACTGATTCGCTATTTTTAATCAAGAAAATGACAACAATACAACTCAGCTGTCTGTAGAGTGAAAAATATGCAATCGGCTGCAAAGCGACGCGGACTAGCGCCGTTTCCCTCGCACTGTGTTGCAGCGTACAGTTCTATCTCGCTTGCTCGATTGAATATTGACTTATAGAAGGGTGCGCGTGCGTGTGTGACAGTTGTACAGGGTGTAAAAAAAACCTATAACGAAGTCGAAGGCCACGTATTTTTCACATCATGACGATTTTTTTTTCCTGACCATACTTGGGAATTTTATGGTTATGGAGATTTTTCCCACGTATATTTTGTAATATGACTTGTTTGGGTGTACGGAATGCGCAGTTTAGGTCTTCGAGGAGCTCGATGGCGCGAGTGGTCAGCGCGTTCGGATGCGATCGTTGAAGTTGAGCAACTTTCGCAGTGGTCGGTCTTTGGATGGGTGACCAAAAATTTACTATCTCGAACTCCCCGTGCCCACGTTGAGCCGTCGGTCCCGGCTGCATCTGCATTCGTTAGCACCCGCCAATCCGCACCGGGCCCGCGTGGGGGGTCATGGCCCAATCTCCCTATTCCATCCGTAGGGAAGGCTTGCGCCCCAGCAGTGGGGACATCAATAGGCTGATGATGATGATGAAGGTGTTTGTCATAGTTTTTTGTTTTTTTACATCCTGTATATGTATGGGAGTGGGATGGAATTCGATGGTATTATGAGCGTGGCGTGTGTTCTCATTTTGTTTTATTGTGAGGGCGTTACTGACCCGCACGAAGGAGGGCAGCGCTCCCACAATCCTTGGCCGAGAGTACCGCGAGTCCACCAGCAACACACACGCGTAATCTTGCGCGTGACGGACGGCTCGACCTGAACGGACATACAACCAATCATGCCATCCTATTAGTTAATACTAGCAAACCAGTCGATCAAATGTTCACCAATTAAAAAAAAAATTGGTGCGTGTACTTATGTAGGCGCGTGAGAAGTTATCCTTCTTTGGCATCGTTTAAAATTAGTTATTAATTGCATGCAAATAATTAATTACAATAAATGAATAAAAAGTCTGGAAAAGGACACAGTCAATAAAGTTCAGTTTTAATTTGAAAAAATAAATAAATAATCAAAATATTCAATTAAAATCGCTACTGAATATAATTTATTAGAACATATGTGATTTGCACTTGTATGAAACTCAAACACGTATTCCGAATATACAAACTAGAAACATGTGGATAAATATTATAAATATGAATACCTATAACTGTTACTTTATTACAAAAAATAAAGATGTGATTTTTGGTTCTACTACACCAATGGTCAAGAGATGGCGCTGTAGTCTCCTGAATCGCGCTTTGGTTCCGTTGTTCCAGATTAATAAATACTTTTGATAGGCCTTCACAATGCAGTCGTTAGCACCCACTAAATAGAGATTCTATTTCTATTTTGTTGGTAGATTTTCTTAATGTGCGGTAAACACAAAAGTAACGCATGAAGTTGGTCGCTAAAGCGACCAACTTCATGCTGTTAAAATTTTGTGTTACAGTGTTGCGCGCGCATCTGAAAATTTCACTCTCATCATTTTTTCATAACGCGCCTAAAGAAGTATAACTTCAAAAAAAAAGTATTTAATTAATTGAGAACTTCGGAGATTTTGTGTGGTTTCGTTTGAAATTCGTGATTTCTCGAAAACCGGAAGTGCTACGTTACTCAAATCCGGTTTGTAGTCTTATCAGACTATTCTTAACTTATAACTTAAACATTCTCTTTATCTATCTCTTACGGTTCGGCCGCTGAAACAGCACCACAGACGGACGGACTTGTCTAATAGATAAGAGATTCATCGTCAGCCTGTTAATGATCCGGCCGCGGCCCTCAGTATCGCGGTATGATCATTGACACACAACGTTAATCTGCAGTCGGTAGCATCCGCCAATCCACACTGGGCCCGCTCGGTCCGGCCCGCACCATTCCATCCATAGGTTCAGGCAGGGCCGGATCTAGGATTGCGGAGGCCCCGGGCCACTTAGGTTTCGTATGCTTGTTAACCCATCGATATTTTGTTATCTTTTATCCTGTCGTGGAGGCCCTCGGGCCGCAGCCCCATCTGCCCTGCCTTAAATTTGGCCCTGAATAATCATATATGTTAGATATACAAAGTACTGAAGGCCGTAGGTAAAAGTAAAAGACCAAAAAAAAAATCAAAGGAAAAGATGTTTACTAGTTGGAATTTAAAAGATTTTTTCTCCGAAGTCTCCATTGTGGGGGCCCCCCGTTTATGGAGGCCCTGAGGCTTTCGCCCCGGTCGCTCTCCCCTAAATCCGGCAGTGGGTTCAGGCCTGCGCCCCAGCAGGGAAGACATTAATAGGCTGATGATACATAGAGACGGATATAAAACATACTCGTCATCTATACTTATAATAAATCCGTAAAGAGGTCAATTCTGTACATGAAATATATTTTCAAAATAACTATCAGGGGGTGATTAGTGATTGATACTGATGCCAAAAATGCAATCAGTAAAATGTTTGTCTGTCTGACAGACAGTGTCTACACACAGACAGTGTGTGTATGTTCCTTATAGAAACAAAAACTACTCGACGGATTTTAACGAAACTTGGTACAATTATTCTTCATACTCCTGGGCAGGTCATAGTATATTTTTCATCACGCTACAATCAATAGCAGCAGAGTAGTGAAGGGAAACGTTGGGAAAACGGGAGAAGTCACTCCATTTTTTAAGCTTCCGTCGCGTGTGCAGCCTTAATGGTTAAAGTTACATAGAAATCATGTATGACGGAAATATTCCACATAAAATTGTCTAAAAAATATATCGCAACAGCATATGTCTATCTTTTATGGTCGACTCACAATACCACGTGTAATTATATAAACGAAGTCATCGTTTATAGCATAAGCCCGAGAACAAAAACTATAGTTTACACTACAGTTCTACACCGAAGCGAAGCGAGGGCGGGCCACTAGTTTTTAATAAATAAAGTGAATACCTATGCACTGGTTGACCTGCTTCATGCAGAGTGCGTTGTAGTGGCGGTCCCCGGCGCCGGGCCCGCGGCTCCGCGTCAGGTGCGTCATCAGGGAGCGCAGCTCCGGGGAGCGCGCGTTGGGATACGGCAGCCCCACCACCACCACGCAGCGGCATACGTCATCGCTGAATACGATCATGAACGATAAACATATTTTTATTTTTTAAGCATTCGATTGCTACATGATTAAATCTAAAGAAAATTTTATTAAATAATCTAAAAAAATCTTTAGATGTAAACATATAACGGTTGATTGCTTTAAAAATAAAACTATAATTGCTTTTTCTTCTTTTAAATGTATAATACGTTGATACAATCAGCAAAATAATAGAATAAGCCAAGAAAAAGAAAATTCTCCAATTTCAAAAAAAGAACGAGTAATGCCTTTTTTAAATGTTTTTTAATTAAGGGTCCAAGCTATTAATAACAGAAAATAAATTCCTATATGTGTAAGACTTATTTCGTAATTAAAGAATATATTTTATATGTCATGCATTTAATAAGTTTTTTATTTAAGTAAGCGCCCACCACGCTCAGCAGCAGCTCGCCGCCGCCGCCGCCGCTAGCCGCCGCAGCGTGCCCGCTCACACCTGTACACTACTGACCTGAAGTTGAGCCCCTCGCTGAGCTTGCCGCCCACCACGCTCAGCAGCAGCTCGCCGCCGCCGCCGCCGCTAGCCGCCGCAGCGTGCCCGCTCACACCTGTACACTACTGACCTGAAGTTGAGCCCCTCGCTGAGCTTGCCGCCCACCACGCTCAGCAGCAGCGACCCGCCGCCGCCGCCGCTAGCCGCCGCAGCGTGCCCGCTCACACCTGTACACTACTGACCTGAAGTTGAGCCCCTCGCTGAGCTTGCCGCCCACCACGCTCAGCAGCAGCGACCCGCCGCCGCCGCCGCTAGCCGCCGCAGCGTGCCCGCTCACACCTGTACACTACTGACCTGAAGTTGAGCCCCTCGCTGAGCTTGCCGCCCACCACGCTCAGCAGCAGCGACCCGCCGCCGCCGCCGCTAGCCGCCGCAGCGTGCCCGCTCACACCTGTACACTACTGACCTGAAGTTGAGCCCCTCGCTGAGCTTGCCGCCCACCACGCTCAGCAGCAGCGACCCGCCGCCGCCGCCGCTAGCCGCCGCAGCGTGCCCGCTCACACCTGTACACTACTGACCTGAAGTTGAGCCCCTCGCTGAGCTTGCCGCCCACCACGCTCAGCAGCAGCGACCCGCCGCCGCCGCCGCTAGCCGCCGCAGCGTGCCCGCTCACACCTGTACACTACTGACCTGAAGTTGAGCCCCTCGCTGAGCTTGCCGCCCACCACGCTCAGCAGCAGCGACCCGCCGCCGCCGCCGCTAGCCGCCGCAGCGTGCCCGCTCACACCTGTACACTACTGACCTGAAGTTGAGCCCCTCGCTGAGCTTGCCGCCCACCACGCTCAGCAGCAGCGACCCGCCGCCGCCGCCGCTAGCCGCCGCAGCGTGCCCGCTCACACCTGTACACTACTGACCTGAAGTTGAGCCCCTCGCTGAGCTTGCCGCCCACCACGCTCAGCAGCAGCTCGCCGCCGCCGCCGCCGCTAGCCGCCGCAGCGTGCCCGCTCACACCTGTACACTACTGACCTGAAGTTGAGCCCCTCGCTGAGCTTGCCGCCCACCACGCTCAGCAGCAGCGACCCGCCGCCGCCGCCGCTAGCCGCCGCAGCGTGCCCGCTCACACCTGTACACTACTGACCTGAAGTTGAGCCCCTCGCTGAGCTTGCCGCCCACCACGCTCAGCAGCAGCGACCCGCCGCCGCCGCCGCTAGCCGCCGCAGCGTGCCCGCTCACACCTGTACACTACTGACCTGAAGTTGAGCCCCTCGCTGAGCTTGCCGCCCACCACGCTCAGCAGCAGCGACCCGCCGCCGCCGCCGCTAGCCGCCGCAGCGTGCCCGCTCACACCTGTACACTACTGACCTGAAGTTGAGCCCCTCGCTGAGCTTGCCGCCCACCACGCTCAGCAGCAGCGACCCGCCGCCGCCGCCGCTAGCCGCCGCAGCGTGCCCGCTCACACCTGTACACTACTGACCTGAAGTTGAGCCCCTCGCTGAGCTTGCCGCCCACCACGCTCAGCAGCAGCTCGCCGCCGCCGCCGCCGCTAGCCGCCGCAGCGTGCCCGCTCACACCTGTACACTACTGACCTGAAGTTGAGCCCCTCGCTGAGCTTGCCGCCCACCACGCTCAGCAGCAGCGACCCGCCGCCGCCGCCGCTAGCCGCCGCAGCGTGCCCGCTCACACCTGTACACTACTGACCTGAAGTTGAGCCCCTCGCTGAGCTTGCCGCCCACCACGCTCAGCAGCAGCGACCCGCCGCCGCCGCCGCTAGCCGCCGCAGCGTGCCCGCTCACACCTGTACACTACTGACCTGAAGTTGAGCCCCTCGCTGAGCTTGCCGCCCACCACGCTCAGCAGCAGCGACCCGCCGCCGCCGCCGCTAGCCGCCGCAGCGTGCCCGCTCACACCTGTACACTACTGACCTGAAGTTGAGCCCCTCGCTGAGCTTGCCGCCCACCACGCTCAGCAGCAGCGACCCGCCGCCGCCGCCGCTAGCCGCCGCAGCGTGCCCGCTCACACCTGTACACTACTGACCTGAAGTTGAGCCCCTCGCTGAGCTTGCCGCCCACCACGCTCAGCAGCAGCGACCCGCCGCCGCCGCCGCTAGCCGCCGCAGCGTGCCCGCTCACACCTGTACACTACTGACCTGAAGTTGAGCCCCTCGCTGAGCTTGCCGCCCACCACGCTCAGCAGCAGCGACCCGCCGCCGCCGCCGCTAGCCGCCGCAGCGTGCCCGCTCACACCTGTACACTACTGACCTGAAGTTGAGCCCCTCGCTGAGCTTGCCGCCCACCACGCTCAGCAGCAGCGACCCGCCGCCGCCGCCGCTAGCCGCCGCAGCGTGCCCGCTCACACCTGTACACTACTGACCTGAAGTTGAGCCCCTCGCTGAGCTTGCCGCCCACCACGCTCAGCAGCAGCTCGCCGCCGCCGCCGCCGCTAGCCGCCGCAGCGTGCCCGCTCACACCTGTACACTACTGACCTGAAGTTGAGCCCCTCGCTGAGCTTGCCGCCCACCACGCTCAGCAGCAGCGACCCGCCGCCGCCGCCGCTAGCCGCCGCAGCGTGCCCGCTCACACCTGTACACTACTGACCTGAAGTTGAGCCCCTCGCTGAGCTTGCCGCCCACCACGCTCAGCAGCAGCGACCCGCCGCCGCCGCCGCTAGCCGCCGCAGCGTGCCCGCTCACACCTGTACACTACTGACCTGAAGTTGAGCCCCTCGCTGAGCTTGCCGCCCACCACGCTCAGCAGCAGCGACCCGCCGCCGCCGCCGCTAGCCGCCGCAGCGTGCCCGCTCACACCTGTACACTACTGACCTGAAGTTGAGCCCCTCGCTGAGCTTGCCGCCCACCACGCTCAGCAGCAGCGACCCGCCGCCGCCGCCGCTAGCCGCCGCAGCGTGCCCGCTCACACCTGTACACTACTGACCTGAAGTTGAGCCCCTCGCTGAGCTTGCCGCCCACCACGCTCAGCAGCAGCGACCCGCCGCCGCCGCCGCTAGCCGCCGCAGCGTGCCCGCTCACACCTGTACACTACTGACCTGAAGTTGAGCCCCTCGCTGAGCTTGCCGCCCACCACGCTCAGCAGCAGCGACCCGCCGCCGCCGCCGCTAGCCGCCGCAGCGTGCCCGCTCAGGACCTGTATTTTCGTTATGTTAAAAGAGTGTCCAACGTGCGAACGGCTCGCCGCTCCGCCGCTTGCGATATGGCTATCAAAGTTAACTTATTACGGTTTGGACTATTGTTTAGTGAGCTAATTGAATAAATTTTTGAAGACTCATTCCCGAGTTGTGAAACTTCCGGAACGGACCGGAAGCGATAACCAAGATTAATTACTTGAGGTGTGAAACGCATTGATAAAACACAAGAATGCCCGCTTTTGAATCAATTTTAGCACAGCTGGCTCCGACTTTACGTAGTCTAGCTTTATCGAGTTCGGAAGAAGAGTACGGAACATTGCAATATAAATGCAGTATCGTTTTTGGAGATTATAATTAATATAATAATAATAATAAACATTTATTCCAGACTTTAAATCCATAGACAAGTGTTAGTAATTAACATGTGCATAATTTCTTATTCTCATTTATAAAAGTATATTTAAGAGATTCTTTACATTGGACAGTTAAAATAGTTTCTTTAAGTTATGCCTAGATTTATTTTTAGTATATTAAGATAAGCTGTTGATTTTCCATGTAGTCAAAATTAAAAAAAAACAAACGTTTCATTTAAAAACTGAGTGAAATTGTTGAAATAAAAGTTAAGGTAATGATTTTTGATCCGGTTAAGTTAAATTTAAGGGGCAGCATGTTATTCTTCCGAATCAGCCGCCTTCATAAGTGAAATCCGCCGGATCAGAACGGAGAAAACAAAGTCGGCTCCGGCGAACGGCGAACTGTCTGGCTAGTTTTTAAGCAACAAAGTTATTTCAAATCACGTTTCATGAGATAGAGCCTGGATAGAGACAGGACGGGCACTACGGAACTCAAAATAATAAAAATGAATGCGTGTAACTTATGTACGCGCGTGAGAAGTTATACTTCTTTAGCATCATTAAAAATATTTTGTAATTGCATGGAAATAATTAATAATTACAATAAAATAATAAAAGGACTGGAAAAGGATAGTTAACACAGTCAATTAAGTTCAGTTTTAATTTGAAAAATTAAATAAATATTCAAAATATTCAATTAAAATCACTACTGAATTTAAGTTATTAGTCCATATGTAATTAGCACTTGTAAGTAACTAAAACACGTTGTGTCTATATAGAAACTAGAAACATGTGGATAAATATTATAAATATGAAAACAGTGATCGGAGGCGACGAGCGTGCCAACATTGTTTTTGACAACGCGATCATCTCATGGAGCTCCGTGGATCGTTCAAAGTACCTTTCGAACAGATGTCTAATTAGACACTAACATTCATAACGCGCCCGCGGCCAACTTCATGGTGTCACTATTGTGTTACAGTGATGCGCGCGCATCTCGAAATTTCACTCAAATGATTTTTTCATAACGCGCCCGCGGCTAACTTCATTATGTTACTTTTGCGTTACAGTGATGCGCGCGCATCTTAAAATTTCACTCTCATAATTTTTTCATAACGCAGCTAAAGAAGTATAACTTCAAAAAATAGTGTAGATATGAAACAAGGACCTGTTCGACGTCGGCGGCAGACTTGGGCTCCCGGAAGACGGCCTTCCTGGCGCGGATGGCGCGCAGGTCCCCGGTACTGTTGATGTGGTCGTACAGGACCCGCTCGCACTCGTACGAGGGCAGGAAGCACACCACGCCCGCGGGGACCACGCGGCACACGTTCCGAAGGATGCAGCCTATCGAGCTCAGCTGCAACACCATCATCATCATCATCATCATCACCAGCCTATCAGTACGGCCGGAGTGCACTCAGATTCAGATTCAGACTCGGAAAACAAGCGCGACAAATATACAGTGTAAAAAATGGTTGCCTGTAAAGTCGGTTTTACGGGCGAAGATTTTACGTGACAACGTCTTTTTCTCGGTAGAATATTTATTGATATGAATATAATTAAATTGCACAATAGGAACAAGGAATTGAATGAAAATAAGAATTGCACAAATTTTAACTATAGAAATATATTTTGTTTACTAAAACATTGTACATGTAAACTTAAACTTAACACGAGAGACTCATCGTAACGTTACCGAGCGTTACACTTTTTCATAAGTGACTCCCAGCCGCAACCTAATTTAAGACGTTGTCACGTCAAAAAATTCAAAATTCAAAAAAATCAATATCGTTTATTCGGTCTAGGTTGTTACAAGCACTTGTGAATGTCGAAAAGCTACGCCATCGGTTCGCGGGAGACCTTGTACTGAGAAGAACCGGCGAGAAACTCAGCAAGGGCTGTTTTTTTCTCCATGTATTGTATACAGAGTCGTCAAATTAAAAAATGACTTCAATATGAGGTAACTCATAAAGTCACTTTCCATTACAAATGCTGATATAATAAAAATTATGACTATATAAAAAACTGGTTTAACAAAGTTTAGGAATGCCGTGTCCTGCTGTTTATGCAAAAAAAAAATGAACGATTAAAGTTTAGTACAACGGTTGATAATATCCGATGAAGCAAGAGCAGACTCATCTCCGCTGGCAGCACCCGTTCACGCATCCGTTCACTAGTTTAAGCAGGTTGCCTGCTGCCACTATGGCCACCCTGCTTCAACTACACTGTTTATTTCTCGAGCTTGTTTTCCGAGTCTGAATCTGAATCTGAGTGCACTCTGGCCGTACCCTATTAAGGTAGGAACAAACTGAGCCCACGCACGCAACGTATGCAATGCAACGTGGGAGAGATGGCGTGCACACTTGGCCCGCGTATACGACGCATATTGACATCAGACGCTGATGTAATATCTTCAGGTGCACGATGCTTTCGAAGTCCGACAGTGAATTCGAGGACGATTTGTCTATTATATTTAAATGTATATTTCCGCGCCAAAAAAAAGAGTTAAGAGAAGATATCGGGTTCATGAGATAAATAAAGAAAAATAAAATGTTGGTGAATACCATACATTATTAAAGAAATTGGTAGGTATGTGATGAAGAGCGATTCTTTATGTACTTCTGCATGTCTAAAGTACGGTTTGAGGAGATTCATGGCATTATTGATTGCTTCATGTCGCCTAACCGAATCTATGAGTTGTTTGTCTCCCATTTTTATCCAAGGTAAATACAACCCACTACACGCCCAATCAGTGTCTGACGCGCTGCGAACGTAAGATCTAGAAACTCACGTCGTCGTACGCGTGGAATGGCGTATGATTATCCCCTCCACGTTCCCACGCCGATCTGGCGCGACAGATCCAACGTTGCATGGGACGCGTGTGACAACGTTGCGTATGACAAGTGTTTCCAAGTCATATGTTTCATACAAATTTCGTAGTTTAGATGTCATAATGCTTAGCATACGTTGCATATGTGGGCTCAGTTTGTCCCTAGCTTTTATGTCCGCCCTGCTGAGGCGCAGGCCTTCGCTATGGATCAAATAGGGAGTGCGGGCCACGACCCAGGGCCTATTGGGAGGTGCTACCGCTAGCAGATGCAGCCGGGACCAACGGCTTGACGTGCCTTTCGAAGCACGACGAAGCTCGTAATATTAAATTTTCGGTCACCCATCCGATGACCGACCCCTGCGAAAGTTGCTTAACTTCGACGATCGCAGCCGAACGCGCTAGTCACTTGCGCCAACGAGCTCCTTCCCGGCTCCTGACATACCACATCCATATTGAAAACCACCAATTTATTGTATTAAGGGAGACGGTTCAAAATTGACAGTCGGTTTCCGGCAGTGATAAAACAATGTCGTTTGGAAGCCTGTTTTACACTTAAAAAATGTTTTGAGTTCCTTCTAACAAAAAAATAAAAATATGGGTGCGTGTACTTAAGTACGCGCGTGAGAAGTTATACTTCTTTTTGGAATTATTAAACAATAGTTTTTAATTGCATGCAGATAATTAATTACAATAAGATAATAAAAGGATTGGAAAAGGATAGTCAACGCAGTCAATAAAGTTCAGTTTTAATTTGAAAAATTTAATAAATAATCAAAATATTCAATTTAAATCACTACTGAATAAAATTTATTAGCACATATAAATTTCGCATTTGTATAACATTATAACACGTGTTAAGAATATAGAAACTAGAAACATGTGGATAAATATTATAAATATGAAAACAGTGATCAGAGGCGACGAGCGTCCCAACATGTGCGACTAAGAGATCCTATTACTATTTTGTTGGAAGCTTTTTTTCGAGACACGAGTAATGTGCGGTTTAGCGGCCGACTTCATAGTGTTGCGCGCGCATCTTAAAATTTCACTCTCATAATTTTTTCATAACGCGGCTAAAGAAGTATAACTTCAAAAATTATAACCTATATATATATATTACATAAATAGTGCCTACATAACTATAGCTCGTAGTAGGGACTCGGTTATGTTAAAATAGTTTTTGTTGTTATAACAAAAGTTATATAAAATATGCAAAACTGTTTTGCTAATTCTTACACTTGTTCAACGATTGGTTACAAAATGATTGCTTCAGTATAGCTCCACTACCCTGTTATTTGTAACCGAACTATTTTCTATGTTTTATTGAAATAAATACCCACAAAATACCTAATAATAGAATGAGGGATAAATGGAATAATTATCACTTGAATAGAATATATTTGTGCTTTAGTAAAAAACAGTACACATATATATAAACTTGCCATTTGCCGATCAATAATCATGAGATTAAAAATTATACTCATTATTTGAAAAATGGGTGCGTGTACTTATGTAGGCGCGTGAGAAGTTATCCTTCTTTGGCATCGTTTAAAATTAGTTTTTAATTGCATGCAAATAATTAATTACAATAAATTAATAAAAAGTCTGGAAAAGGACAGAGTCAATAAAGTTCAGTTTTAATTTGAAAAAATAAATAAATAATCAAAATATTCAATTAAAATCGCTACTGAATATAATTTATTAGAATATATGTGATTTGCACTTGTATGAAACTCAAACACGTATTCCGAATATACAAACTTGAAACATGTGGATAAATATTATAAATATGAATACCTATAACTGTTACTTTATTACAAAAAATAAAGATGTGGTTTTTGGTTCTACTACACCAATGCTCAAGAGATGGCGCTGTAGTCTCCTGAATCGCGCTTTGGTTCCGTTGTTCCAGATTAATAAATACTTTTGATAGGCCTTCACAATGCAGTCGTTAGCACCCACTAAATAGAGATTCTATTTCTATTTTGTTGGTAGATTTTCTTAATGTGCGGTAAACACAAAAGTGCATTTAAAGCATTACAGTGATGCGCGCGCATCTTAAAATTTCACTCTCATCATTTTTTCATAACGCGCCTAAAGAAGTATAACTTCAAAAATAACAAGAATAAAATAAATTCTACTTCTTTGTCAAATGATTTACAAGTAAGTAAACATTAAAATTTGTAGTCTACCGAAGACTCCCTACCCTCCATACAAATTTGAACCGTCTCCTTTACATGGTCACAAACATCATACTAAGTAGCAAGATTGCTACATGTACTTTGTTTTTCTGTGTTCGGACAAAAGACTTCGTCAGAGGGTACAACGATTTCTTTGCCAATGGTATAGTACCCGCATTTACTTCAGTTACTTCGTGATCGTAACACTTGAATGCCAAAATATTGGGGACACGCAATAGACAAGTTGCGCGGGAGCGATCTAGCTATTGAAACCGCTATCACACAACCGAATGAAGGGGTCAGTACAGTACCCCAGATCTTTGTATTTTATCGAATAATGTATTTGACAGCACAGAATAAGAGACTACTACTGCCCTATTGGGCATAGCCAATTTTCGCTCCAATCGGAGCGCCAGTCTGGGGAAGTAACCTCCATATTACAGATCACAGTAAAATGACACTGCTTTTTGGCGGTGTTGTGTTTCGGGCTCCGCGGGGTAAGGGATTGGGTCAGGATAGGTATCGGCTCGAGTCATATTTTTTGGTATCGCAAGCTTCTCTATAGGCTACGGTGACCGCTTACCGTCAGGCGGGTCATAATCTCCTTTGTCATACTTTAAAAATTAAAAATAAAACAAAAGCATTTAAATAGAAAGTCACATAAGGGACTTTTTGGCGGGATCGGGAAGCGTCACTTTAGCAGTTTTGTTTTTCTTGTTAAAAATTGTGTTGTGGCGGATGTTAGCGTCTAATAATGGTGGATTATTAACCACTAAGTGTACGGGAACATGCACAAGTGTTGGCAAGCGAATCAAAATAGCGGAAAGTGTCTTTCGACGTTCCTTCAAGAAGTCGACGGGGAGGTTCCAGTAAATCCCCACACTTTTACTGAAACATGGGGAAAGGGGGATTGACTCGACTGCCACTTACTTTGACTTGACTTATTACTTTGACCACGAGTGCTATAGTATTTGTATACCTACATTTAACACTTGACATTGGCTAAATGCACAAGCCGTGCGAAGTCATTTAGAAAAAAAAAGTCACATAAGGCATAATGAAAACGATTGTGTGAGCACTGACCGTATCCGCAGTCTGTCGTTGTTGATAGTTGAGCGTGAGGGTGTTGCCCGCGGGGCCCGAGCTCAGCGCCAGCGCCACCACGTGGTGCGCCGGGACCACGTGACCGCACCGCACCACTACCACGCCGACACACTCCGACCTAGGCTGGCCGCTAGGCTCCCTGCTAGGCTCCCTGCTAGGCTCCCCGCTAGGCTCCCCGCTGGGCTCTCCGCTAGGCTCCCCGCTAGGCTCCCTGCTAGGCTCCCTGCTAGGCTCCCCGCTAGGCTCCCCGCTGGGCTCTCCGCTAGGCTCCCCGCTAGGCTCCCTGCTAGGCTCCCTGCTAGGCTCCCCGCTAGGCTCCCCGCTGGGCTCTCCGCTAGGCTCCCCGCTAGGCTCCCTGCTAGGCTCCCCGCTAGGCTCCCCACTAGGCTCCCCGCTAACCACTCCGCCCGTCAGCAACTCCACGAACTCTGAGACTGGCTCCATGGTGCCGCCCGCCACTATCACCTGCGGATCGATGCACCAGTGTTTTTTTAAAGATAGGTCCCACAGATGACTCCACCTCGCCTGATGTTAAGTGACGGTAAGTCCAAAGGCGAAGATAGTTGGCGTGGCAGTTCTACCTGCCACACCGGCCATCCTCACCTTGCCGGCTTGCATAATTGCTTCTTTACGCCTCTTTCGAATCTCGGATTAAAGGAGGAAGGGAACACGTGAGCTGGCAAATCATTCTATTTGCAGATAGTGCGACAAAGAAATGAGTCTTTGTTCGCGTCGGAATAGTGGCCACAGTAACGCTCCGTTCGCACCAAAGTCACGTTTTGTAGAATCATATTTTCATAGGATCTGACAAAAATAAATATTGTGTTCACACAGCACATCTCCGGCCCCGAATCGGGATCCCGTGTGATCACAACATTCGATTTTTTATACAAATAATGCACATAGTCCCTCACTGATTAGGAATTGAAGACGCACCTGAACTATGAAACAAGCTGCTAGCTGACTCGGCGAACTTCATACCGCCCAAAGCTAATAATTTGCAATAAATTGAGCAAATCAGTCAGATCTAAGTCAGATCATCGATGAGTCAGACCAATCAGATATCAGAGCAATAGATTTGAGCAATCCGGCAAATAACCGAATCTACCTTGCTCGTATCGTATGAACACATTTATTGAATGTGCGATCGTACATTTTGCAGTACGGCTCTAATATACTCACGGAGCGGCACCGTCCCGCGATGTGCTGGAACCGTCGCGCGGGTTCCAGCAGTAAGTACTGCAGAGAGCACGATCGTCTCAGCACCACGCGCCCGCACTCTAATATACTCACGGAGCGGCACCGTCCCGCGATGTGCTGGAACCGTCGCGCGGGTTCCAGCAGTAAGTACTGCAGAGAGCACGATCGTCTCAGCACCACGCGGCCGCACTCTAATATACTCACGGAGCGGCACCGTCCCGCGATGTGCTGGAACCGTCGCGCGGGTTCCAGCAGTAAGTACTGCAGAGAGCACGATCGTCTCAGCACCACGCGCCCGCACTCTAATATACTCACGGAGCGGCACCGTCCCGCGATGTGCTGGAACCGTCGCGCGGGTTCCAGCAGTAAGTACTGCAGAGAGCACGATCGTCTCAGCACCACGCGCCCGCACTCTAATATACTCACGGAGCGGCACCGTCCCGCGATGTGCTGGAACCGTCGCGCGGGTTCCAGCAGTAAGTACTGCAGAGAGCACGATCGTCTCAGCACCACGCGCCCGCACTCTAATATACTCACGGAGCGGCACCGTCCCGCGATGTGCTGGAACCGTCGCGCGGGTTCCAGCAGTAAGTACTGCAGAGAGCACGATCGTCTCAGCACCACGCGGCCGCACTCTAATATACTCACGGAGCGGCACCGTCCCGCGATGTGCTGGAACCGTCGCGCGGGTTCCAGCAGTAAGTACTGCAGAGAGCACGATCGTCTCAGCACCACGCGCCCGCACTCTAATATACTCACGGAGCGGCACCGTCCCGCGATGTGCTGGAACCGTCGCGCGGGTTCCAGCAGTAAGTACTGCAGAGAGCACGATCGTCTCAGCACCACGCGCCCGCACTCTAATATACTCACGGAGCGGCACCGTCCCGCGATGTGCTGGAACCGTCGCGCGGGTTCCAGCAGTAAGTACTGCAGAGAGCACGATCGTCTCAGCACCACGCGCCCGCACTCTAATATACTCACGGAGCGGCACCGTCCCGCGATGTGCTGGAACCGTCGCGCGGGTTCCAGCAGTAAGTACTGCAGAGAGCACGATCGTCTCAGCACCACGCGCCCGCACTCTAATATACTCACGGAGCGGCACCGTCCCGCGATGTGCTGGAACCGTCGCGCGGGTTCCAGCAGTAAGTACTGCAGAGAGCACGATCGTCTCAGCACCACGCGGCCGCACTCTAATATACTCACGGAGCGGCACCGTCCCGCGATGTGCTGGAACCGTCGCGCGGGTTCCAGCAGTAAGTACTGCAGAGAGCACGATCGTCTCAGCACCACGCGCCCGCACTCTAATATACTCACGGAGCGGCACCGTCCCGCGATGTGCTGGAACCGTCGCGCGGGTTCCAGCAGTAAGTACTGCAGAGAGCACGATCGTCTCAGCACCACGCGGCCGCAGTCGCTGGGAGACCTCAGCATCTGCAGGAACTCCAGCACGCCGTACAGGCATGTGCCCGCAGACATATCCGACTCCTCCTGGACAAACGGAGGCGAAACTTACGCGCTTAAAGAAAATCAATCCCGACAAATACGTCGGCACAAACCGACGAATCAAAAATGATATGGCAGCATTAATCTCTAACTAAAACCGCCGAAACATGGTTCTAAATGTTAAATTTAGTTTCAAGTCTAGAGAATCCTGCCAGAATCGACACCACTGTTTGCAAATTTAAGTTAAGGTTTAGAGAATGATGCCAGAATGGACACCACTGACGGACTAAACAGAATATCATTTACTTTACCCCGTAGTATCTATTATAAAAATCACATCTAACCTCGCCTCTATTCTTCAGGACATCCTGCTCCGCATGGTTTGGGACACTTTGCTCCTCCTTTGTTTGCACTTCAGTCTTTTTGTTACAAATATTTTTCAAGAAGTTCTCGAAAGATTTCTTTTTGTCGGTTAAATTATTGGTTGTCGTTTCTTTCTCTTCCTCTTCTAAATCCTGAAGCTTATATCTCTGGGAGAATCCGTGTAACTTGCGCGCTAGCTTCGTGCTTTTACAGAACTCTATAGTATCTCCCAAATTCAAATGATCTATCTGAGCTTCCACAGCGAAGTCTTGGGGAGTGTATACTACCGCCTCATCAGACTCCTCACCGTCACCGTCATTCTTCTCTTTGTCTATCATACCTGAACGAAAAGGTAAATATTAAATTAAATATTCCAACTTGATTCCAACAGACTTGATTCTTGAGCAAACCCAAAGACAAATATACTTGCATAGTCGACGTATTTGTATGTAAAATTGGTAAAGCGCAGGCTTCCTTGTGGTCGCTGCCAATTAGTTTGGCGGGGTGTGTTCAACATCTAAGAACCTCCGTGGCCGAGTGTTATGTACGCCGGGTTTCAATGTGTCGCCAACTCGGGAGGTTTCGGATTCGAACTTCGCCTCACAGGTGTCGCAGCAGGCAGGCCAGGCGCGTGAGGTGCAGGCACCCCCGCGGCGCCATGCGGGCCCGGTACCGGTACCGGCGCCGGTACTGGTGCAGGCAGCGCTCTCAACACTCACCTCGCAGGTGTCGCAGCAGGTAGGCCAGGCGCGTGAGGTGCAGGCACCCCCGCGGCGCCATGCGGGCCCGGTACCGGTACCGGCGCCGGTACTGGTGCAGGCAGCGCTCTCAACACTCACCTCGCAGGTGTCGCAGCAGGTAGGCCAGGCGCGTGAGGTGCAGGCACCCCCGCGGCGCCATGCGGGCCCGGTACCGGTACCGGCGCCGGTACTGGTGCAGGCAGCGCTCTCAACACTCACCTCGCAGGTGTCGCAGCAGGTAGGCCAGGCGCGTGAGGTGCAGGCACCCCCGCGGCGCCATGCGGGCCCGGTACCGGTACCGGCGCCGGTACTGGTGCAGGCAGCGCTCTCAACACTCACCTCGCAGGTGTCGCAGCAGGTAGGCCAGGCGCGTGAGGTGCAGGCACCCCCGCGGCGCCATGCGGGCCCGGTACCGGTACCGGCGCCGGTACTGGTGCAGGCAGCGCTCTCAACACTCACCTCGCAGGTGTCGCAGCAGGTAGGCCAGGCGCGTGAGGTGCAGGCACCCCCGCGGCGCCATGCGGGCCCGGTACCGGTACCGGCGCCGGTACTGGTGCAGGCAGCGCTCTCAACACTCACCTCGCAGGTGTCGCAGCAGGTAGGCCAGGCGCGTGAGGTGCAGGCACCCCCGCGGCGCCATGCGGGCCCGGTACCGGTACCGGCGCCGGTACTGGTGCAGGCAGCGCTCTCAACACTCACCTCGCAGGTGTCGCAGCAGGTAGGCCAGGCGCGTGAGGTGCAGGCACCCCCGCGGCGCCATGCGGGCCCGGTACCGGCGCCGGTACTGGTGCAGGCATCGCTCGGTGCGCCGCAGCGCCGCGCCGGGTAGGGTGCAGGCGCAGGCGCGGGCCAGCGCGGAGGGCAGCGCGTGCGCCTCGTCGACCACCAGCACGGCGCGCGGCCCCACGCGGCCCTCCCCCTGTCCCGCCCCCTGTCCCACCGACAACCACGCGTGGCTCACCAGCACCACCTGCACCCCGATAACCAACCATCCATTTAGCGTTTGCATATAAACAAAGCTAAACTTATAACTGTTTGGCTGCATCCGTAAAAACCTACGAACCGACCTCCCAAACGAACGCGAGCCGGCGAGGACCCGAGCGTCTCGCAATGCTCGATATATCCCTCAGCTGGGAATACAAAATTTTCATTTTCCATAACCATTTTTTAGCGTGTCGAATCACCTATCACCGGTCAAACTGTCGTGTCTAATAAACACGCAACCCGCTAATTCATTACGACCGAACTAATCCTAAATTTCCCCCTCGGAATTTCGCTATACTATACAGAATACTCGCTCTCCTACCAGAGCTGTAATGGCTCAGGCGAGGTAAATAAAGCGATTCTATAGAATCCATTTCGAACACATTCCTAGGTACATTACCCTAGCGTAACAATTCATAAGTCCATATCCTAAGGTTTGATTGGTTGGGGAATAAAGTTGCTTGCGTCCGTAGGATTTTCCATCTATTCCTAGAAACACCCTACACTGGGTCCCCTGGGTGGTGCTAAACAAGCAACAACGCCGAGCCACACGCGGCGGTTATCTAACCTGTTTCGGGTTACCATGCACCCTGAGGACTCAAATACCCTCAAAACGTGTGGCTCTGGGGCCTTGGGGAAGTTCCAGCAGTATCACCCACTTTGTAAATGGAGATGTCTGATAACGAGAATGTCATGCGCTCCGGCTGACCCCCGGCGCTTGCAGGTACCCGGGCTTGCAAGTGAGAAATTGACTACCGAAAACTACGTGGGAGCGGGCGCCCAGGCTCCCATGCTAGTTAATGCTACTGACGGCAACAAAAAATACAGTCAACAAGTCTTTCACCCTGGCATATTCATACGCACCAGGTCTTCTTCACTGAGAAGCGTTCTCCCTACATCTTTTGATAAAGACACTACTTCGTAGAAAGCACCTAAAGAAACATGCTATAAAGATGCAGAACCTACTCCAATAACGCAACAAGACAGCTTTTGCCCCCCATCATGGCAAAGAGTACCCACGAGCAGATGCTCTAAAAGAAAGAAAATGTCTGACAGCCCATCCCCAGAAGCTGTTAGAACTTCAAACTCCTTTAGCGGATTACAGATTGAACCACTAGATGACAATGCTCAGGATAAAGTAAAAAAAACCCATTAAGCCACCACTAATTATTCTCTATGGAGTAGAGGATGTGAATGAACTCACCGAACTGATAGAAACAGTTACAGAGAAAGATAAGTTTACATACAAAATCATCAACAGAAACCAATTAAGGATTACTACAGCTAATATGGAAGTATACAAGGTCGTGATTAAGATAGTTAGAGAAAAAGGACTAATCGGACATACCTTTCACAGAAAAGATGCAAGGTGCTTCAGAATTGTTATATGGAACTTCAGAATTGTTATGGAATGGTCCAGAAAGAAAAGCTACTTCTACGTTCTTTGCAAATCTTGCTCCTGGTCCGAATAACAAAGCAGTCAAGGAGTTAAATTTTATCTATAACGAATCTGAGGTTATAGAGGATCCTAAGAGCAGAAAATCTATAATAAAATGTCACAGGTGTCAACAATACGGTCACTCTAAAAACTATTGCATGCGTCCTTACCGATGCGTCAAATGTGGACAATCTCACAAAACCTCGGAATGCACTAAAAAAGACCGAAATACCCCTGCACTGTGTGCTCTCTGTAATGGTCCACATCCTAACAAGGGATGCGAAGTGTATACGGAAATTTTGGCTAGGAGAAATAAAATTGCACCAAAAGAGAAAACAAGTAAACATGACGTGACAAACAAAACATACGCGGAAGTTTTAGGTACAAACAACATACAACACCTAGAACAAAATTTGCAACATCATGAAACTAATAGATCTCAGAATACTCCTGAATTCTCAAATACGCAGTCATATCCACTTAATCATACAATACAACACTTGCTCCAGAAGCAAACAGAGAAGTTTGAACTTGTATTACAACAAATGGGTTCACTATTAGTGCTCCTAACAAAACTAGTTGAAAAGATATCAAAATGACTTCGTTAAAACTAGCCACATGGAACATAAATGGTCTCGTTCCTAATAAGAATGAGGCGGAACTACTGATGTCGCAGCATGACTTAGATGTATTACTGATTTCCGAAGCTCACTGTACCACATTATCATGTCTTAAGTCTAAAAATTATGAATACTATGTCACTGCACATCCTGCCGGAACTGGACATGCTGGGACAGCAATTATTATAAAAAAAGTCTGTGAAACACCATATTATGCCCGAGTTTCAAACTGAAGAAATACAAGCAACAACAATAGCAGTTGAGGACAAATACGGAACATTCAATCTTTCGTCTGTATACTGCCCACCCAAACATAAAATCAACGAAATAACGTTTGCGAATTTTTTCCGAACTCTTGGAAACCGTTTTATTGCTGGTGGAGATTGGAATTCCAAAAACACGTACTGGGGTTCGAGACTGACAAGCACTAGAGGAAGGCAATTAAGTCAACCTCTTCCTTTTTTGGAATAAAGGCGGTTGTTCCTCAAGGCTCCGTATTGGGACCCATACTGTACACTGTGTACACTGCCGATTTGCCCGTATCAGATGAAATCACCACTGCTACTTTTGCTGACGATACTGCTGTACATGCAAGCGATAAGAGTGCCAGCATTGCAACAGAGAAGCTGCAGAGAGGTTTAAACAAGGTGTCCGAATGGCTCCAGAAATGGAAGATATAGGCCAGTGCCTCCAAATCAGTGCAAGTCACCTTTACACTGAGAAAAGGAAATTGCCCACCAGTTTTACTGAATAATGTGCATTACCTCACAGGGATTACGTGCGCTACCTAGGTTTGCATTTCGACCGTCGCCTTACATGGAACCAACATATTAAAACCAAAAGGCAAGAACTTAATCTTAGATACAGAGGCCTGTTTTGGTTAATGGGACGAAACAGCAAGCTATCAGTTAATAATAAACTCCTGATCTATAAAGTCATCTTGAAGCCTGTCTGGATGTATGGCATTCAACTATGGGGAAGCGCAAGCAACTCAAACATCCAAATTATCCAGCGAATGCAAAACGTTATACTACGGTCTCTGTCTAATGCTCCGTGACTAATAACTAACAGCGAGATCCACAAGTATTTAGAAATTAACACGGTGAAGGATGAAATCCAAAACACCACAATGAAGTACCAAGTAAGGCTGGAAAGTCATCCGAACGAACTGGCAGCCAACTTAACAAACCTCAGCTATTTTAAACGCCTTAAGCGAAAAGATATCTTGTGTCTCTAAGGACAACGAGCAAAGAGTAGATGTTCTCAATGGAGGGCATACTCGTATAAATTTCACTACACTATTTCCAACGCATTTGCTTAAAGCTTAGAGCTGATTGCAAATAAACATAAGAAAAAAAATCCTAAAGTATATAGTATTTTGTTGCTAATTGGTTGCTATTTTGCGCCGCAAGAATTGATTTTGTTGCTCCAAGATTTCTCCGAAAAACGCCTGTTACGCTAGCGTAATATTACGCTATCGAAACCACAGCGATATCTCGGAGGCAAAAGCAGTTTTTTTTTTAATTCCCTAAGGTACTCCACCATGGCTGACGTGGAGATTTGACCTTACATTTTTACATAAACTTATATCAATTTCCCTTTAAATTGGGCCTTACAAATTATTTACTTAAACATATACTTAGTATGAGTCTTCGAGATTGGGCCCTTACAATTTACTATCCCTAGATTTATAGTATCTTTCTGTGGGCCTTTACAATTGACCCTTACAAAATATTTTCCTTATAGCTTACTATGGGGCTTTTTATTTGGCCCTTACAATTTTCCTAACCTATTATGAATAATGCTTAAAACTATCATGCTTTACATTTTAGAAACTAGTTCGGTTCAGTAGTTACTTTTAAAAATAAATTATAATTATAACAATTTAAAATAATTAGAATAATACGGCCTGTGACAGATGCTATGCTTATTATGCTCTGACGACGTAGCCTGTAAAGGCTACGAAACGTCAATAAATAAATAAAATTTCGTGCATTAACCCGTAAAAACTAGTTTAATTAAATGAGTGATGTGCGTGAAAACCTAAGAAACAAATATGCTATGCTTTACATAGTATGCACTGATTGGCATTAATGCTTTTTTTTTCCTAAATAATATAATAAATCAACAGGCAACATGCACTTGACCGGACCGGAACGGACCAAAGGACCGCAGACCGGAGTGCCGCGGACCGAAGACCGCGGACCAAGGGTCCGCAGACCGAAGGACCACAGACCATATAATATCTGATCTACAATGATCTACAATATGTGTTATATTACTACGTAATTTTTAAGCCGATTATGCTTAAAATTAATTACTAGAAAGTGATCAGCGCGGAAATGGAATGAACAGAATTATTAGACATCCCCCAATCCCCCGAAACTCAAGCTATCTATATCCGTATTTGTATCTGCCCCCACTCCATCCGAAAAACCATCCCAATGTCAGGCAAATGTTCGCAGTCCCCGGACCGCGGGCCGTCGGATTGAGAAAAATATCCGCGGTCCCCGCACCGCGGACCGCAACCATGAGGCGGAAATCCGCGGTCCCCGTACCGAGGACCAGCGATACTGGAGAATTATCCGCGGTCCTCGGGCCGAGGATCCCCAATGTCGGACAAAAGTTCGCGGTTCCCGGACCGCGGACCGTCGGCGTCGTAAAATATCCGCGGTCCACGCACCGCGGACCGCAACCATGAGGCAAAAATCCGCTGTCCCCGGACCGTGGACCAGCAGCGCCGGAAAAATATCCACGGACCGCCGCGAAAGTCCGCGGTCCCAGGACCAAGGACGATCGACTCTAGAATAATGTTAGCGGCTCGCCAGTCATCGGAAAAATATTCGCGGCCCGGGGACCGCGGACCGTCGGCGTCGCCGTAGGGCGAAAATCCGTGATCCCCGGACCGCAGGCCACCGGTGACGGAAA